CCCCCCCATTAGAAGGTGGGCTGCACAGATCTTTCTGCGCAGGTGCATCTTTCTCCTCCTCCTCTTCTTTGCACTGGCACCCTTCTGCCTACAAGAACTGACACACAAACACACACCAAGCAACATTCTTCCTATGCTGGGTTGCGGCTCCCAATGCTAGTCCAGTGACAGGAGCTTTATCGGAGATTACCGCACTACAGTGGGTCCCTCCACATTCGCTGGGGGTAGGGGTGAAGAACCCCCACGAAAGTGGAAAAAACACAAATAAAAAGAACAACACTGTTCTTTTTAGCTGAGAGCAAAAGGTGTCTCCACATCATCCAGTGCAACTCTTTGGTTAACACCTGTAGAAGTTGATCATAGAATCGTGCTGAAGGACCTACAAATACCTAGAAAATACTGGGAACCTCTAGGTTCTCCAGCACAACTCTAGTCAACTTCTGGCAGAGTTGCACTGGAGGACTTAGGGATTGATTCCTAGAGAGAAATATTAATCAAAACCTCAAATAATCAAATCCGCAAAAGTCAAAGCTGCAAATGTGGAGGGCTGACTGACGCTTCTAAGTGCTGCTATTCCACTTTTACTGCTCTGGCTGCCTCTTGTTGCATTATGAGGTTTGTAGTCCAGTGAGGCCTAGGATATAAAGATATACTGCTGAACACTAAAGGTAGAATTGTTCAAGCCATAGTATTCCCCATTATCATGTACGGATGTGAGAACTGGACAGCGAAGAAAGCAGCTGGGAAGAAAATTAACTCACTTGAGATGTGGTTCTGGAGAAGAGGGCTAAGGATACCATGGACAGCCAAAAAGACAAACAAATGGGTCCTAGAACAGATCAAGCCAGAAATCTCCCTGGAAGCCAAGATGACAAAACTGAGGCTGTCGTTCTTTGGACACATCATGAGAAGATATGAATCACTGATAAAGGCAACAAAGGTAGGAAAGATGAAGGGAAGTAGAAAGAGAGGAAGACCGCATGCCAGATGGATAGATTCAATCAGGGAATACAGAAGCCTGGGCCTGCAGGACCTGAGCAGAGAGGTTGAGGACAGAGAGTCATGGAGATCGGGCATCTCCTTCACCAGGTTGCCATGAGTCAAGATCAGCTGGAAAGCACCTGAAAATAACAAGAGGCCTGAGAGCTCTCTGGCTGAGCATTCAAATGTGTCCTCTCTAAACTACAAACCCTACAAGGTCCCAGGAGGCAGCCAGAGCAGTAAAAGTGGAATAGCAGTTCTATAAGAGTGTAGTGTGGTAATCTCCTACACAGCTGGAGGGAAGCCTGCATCCATACCTGGACTTTGTTCATGTACCTGTTTCTCTGTGGGCTGAGCAAGACCCCAAGGTGTCCCCCAGCCCTGGGCACAACTCGGTCCTCCCCAACAGGCAGACATCCCACAGGAGGAGCTGAGCCAAGAGGAGCAGCATGGAAAGAAATACTCTCCCTGTGATTGACGGACTCTTGTCTGTGGAGCAGAGGCGCCTTTCCAGAGGTAGAAAGTTGGCACACACTGGAGTGGGTGGGGGGCACCACATGGAGCCAAAAGCCTCCTACTCCCCATGGGTGCCTGGTTCTCCCCCAAGGTTCGGTCCAAGGAGGACCCTCCAACAAACACCCCTTTCCCCTCCCCATTGCACCCCTACAAACATCCTCTGTTGTGGGGGCTTCAACCACCCCCACCCCCACCCAGACTGGCCTCTGTATCACCCTTCCTGGGCCCTGGCAGTCCCTCATGGGCATGATCCAACCAAAGCAAAGCACTTTTGAAGCCCCCCCTCCCCATTTCAGCTGGGTGAGAATCAAGGGTTAACTCTCTTCCACTGACATCCCTGGGGCTGGACTGTACCCTGGGTCTGACCCCCATCCCCTGGTTGCCCTCCTATATCCTCCCCACACCTGGCAAATAAACACAGGATGCATCCACACTGGAGAAATAATCCAGATTGACACCACTGTAACTGCCCTGGCTCAATGATATGGAATTCTGAGACTAGTGAACCAGCAATGTGATGCTGCAGCAAAGAAGGCAGATAGACTCTGCGGCCACGACCAACTACAATTCCCAGAATTCCATAGCACTGAGCCAGGGCAGTTAAACTGGATTATTTCAACAGTGCAGATGCAGCCGCAATTTCCAAAGGGCTGTAGACCTGTTTAGTCACTTGCAAGAAGATCAACCGGAGATGACTACAACACCTTAAGGCTTTTGAGCCATTTCCTAAGGGCCATCTTTGCACATTTTGTTCTAGTGGGATGAAGCCCATTTTGCCAGGGGCATGAAATGCTGCCCCACATATAATGGGGGGAGGAAGGCAGGGTGGGAGAGGAGCCCTTGGGTTTTCCTCAGGCAGAAATCCCCTCTTGAAGCCAGGTGCAAAAGGGGAAGGCACTCTTTTGGGCCAGATTCAGACGTGATCCAGGGATTAGCATCAGTAATCAGTGGCTTATAGAAAGAAATTTATTTGTTGATTGATTTCATTTCTATGCTGCCTTTCTCCCAGAAAGGGACCCAAGAAAGAAAGAAAGAGAAGTTTCTTGATTCAGATCACTGGCAACAGAACTGAATTTCCAAACACATTGTCTGAGGCAGTGATTCCCAAACTTTTGTCCTTCAGGTGTTTTGGTCTTCAAAACAAAGCCCCAGCTCTCTTGGCCAACAGTCAGGAATTCTGGAAGGTGAAGTCCAAAACATCTGAAGAACCAAAGTTTGGGAACCACTGGTTCTGAGACATGAAACCTCAAAGTCGGGCTCTTGCACTGCAGCTCCCATCTCCCCTGCAGACTGGGACTGATAGGAACTACGGCCCAAGAGGACCTCGATGGGGGTCTCTTCTCCCTTTGTCCCTTCTCCTTTTCTTCTGCCCCTCAACTTTTGCCAAAGACGGAGGCTCTGAAAAGAGAGAGAACAAAAGAAAGGGAAGAGGAAGGGCGAGAGCGCCGTCCTCCAAGCCCAAAGCAGCA